AACGCTTGGTAATGACTGGGGAAATGTATCAAAAATTGTTGGAAAGGCATCTGTGCTGAAGCTAATGAGTAGGGTCAGATCGAAAATCCGCTCCTTGGCTTACGACTGATCGGATCTCGGATTTTCTACATCTAACTGAATACTATAGAGAACATGAATATGAAATAAAAATCGAATCTACTGTAAACAGAGTTACGTTATCGTTTTTTTTTTTAATCATGCTTAGACATTCTGGGACACCCTATAAAAAAAATACGGGAAGTACTTATTCAATCGAAAATGACAAATATTTCATTTTGTTCTTAACAACGCATAACAGAAATTAAGCTTAAATTTTAGTTTATCTTTTATTACCCGGCCCTGAGTCTAGCGCTGGCGATGGGGTCTTCCAAGCTGCCTATCATGGCAAGTATCCTATTAGTAACGGCAATCCCAGCTCTGACGAATATTCAATCCCTAGGACTGCGCCTCTAGCAAGTAATGCTGCACCTGCTTCTTCGAATGTCCTGATGTACTACCAAAATGTTGGTGGGATCAACAGCTCTCTCACCGAGTACCAATTAGCTTCAGCGACGGTTCCTATGATGTTAACGCACTTTCCGAAACTTGGCTCAATGGACATACCTCAACGAATCAGTTGTTTGGCGAATCATATTCCGTTTATCGACAAGACCGGTCGCCTTTGAATAGCAACAAAACCTCTGGAGGTGGTGTTTTGCTGGCTGTTCGCTCGAGTTTTAAATCCCGTACGCTCGACCCTCCTGATGGCTCGGCGGTTGAGCAAATATGGATCGCAATTACCACTGTCGATGCAACACTCTACCTTATTCCTCCTGATCGAGTAAACGATGAATCTTAGATCGAAAAGCATATCGATTCGCTTAACTGGGTGGTTTCGCAGTTAGGACCAAGAGACAACGTTATCATCCTAGGCGATTTCAACTTGAGCTCGATCTCTTGGCAGCGTAGTCAACATGGTGCCCTGTACCCGATTACATCACGATCCTCGATAAGCTTGGCATCACGGAAGCTGCTTGATGCGTATAGCACCGCTGGACTCAGACAAATGAGTGGAATTGCAAATGTAAACAATCGTACACTTGATCTATGCTTCGTCAGTGAGGAACTTTGCGAGCACAGCACAGTTATGCAAGCTCCATCACCGCTCGTTAAAATCTGCAGGCATCATCCTCCTGTACTGATGGAATTCAAGATAAGTCCACAGCAACGCTTCCAAGATACCTCTGAAAGCATCACCTATGATTTCAGAAAGGCTGACTTCAACAGCATGAACGAGTTCCTCGCACATGTCGATTGGGACGAGGTGCTTCAAAATTGTGATGCCAACCTCGCTGCGTCGACCATATCTGGTATCCTGTGGTATGCCATCGATCAGTTCGTTCCCGTGAAGTCTAGACACGAACCGGCTAAGCCAGCCTGGTCAAATGCTGACCTCAAGCATCTTAGGACTGTGAAGCGGGCAGCTCTCAGACGACATAGCAAGTATCGCACGGACTCCACGAGAATGAGATATATGGCGACGAGCACTGAATACAACCAACTTAATAATCGTTTGTACAACGCATATCAGGACCATTTGCAAAGGCGCTTCAAGACAAATCCCAGAAGTTTTTGGCGTTACGTCCATAACCAACGGATGGAATCCGGACTGCCCTCTATTTACGATGACCAATGGATTGTTCGAAGCTGATTCCACCACTGACATCGCCGACCTGTTCCGTTCTCAATTCAGCAATGTTTTCACTAATGAACACATCGACCCACAGGATGTAGCCGTCGCCACCAGAAATGTTCCTCAACTTTCGGCCTCTGGGCTGCAGTTCGTGATCACGAACGATATGGTTATATCAGCCGGAAAGGATTTAAAATCCTCCACGGGATGTGGTCCGGATGGGATTCCATCGCTTGTCCTCAAATGCTGCGCGGATACACTTGCAACACCACTAGCAAGAGTATTCAACCTATCTTTGGCTACTGGTGTATTCCCAAACTGCTGGAAGCAGTCGTATGTTTTCCCAGTTTTCAAGAAATGCTGCAAGCGGATTGTTTCGAACTATCGGGGCATAGCTGCGTTGAGCGCCACTTCTAAGCTGTTTGAGGTGATCGTTCTGCATAAGCTGGTTCAGAACTACGCACACTACATTTCGATTGATAAGCACGGATTTATGCCTAACCGTTCGACGACAACTAATTTGACTTGTTTCACTTCGTTCGTGATCCGCCAAATAGAAAATGGTCAACAAGTAGACGCTATTTACACAGACTTATCCGCGGCGTTTGATAAAATGAATCATCAAATCGCAGTTGCTAAATTCGACAAGCTGGGAATGAACAGTAACTTGCTTTCCTGGCTTCGATCCTACCCAACCGGTCGAAGTATGTCCGTCAAAATTGGAGACCACGTTTCGCCCTCCTTTCCGGTTTAGTCCGGTGTTCCCCAAGGAAGTCACTTGGGGCCGTTTCTATTCTTGCTGTATATGAACGATGTCAATTTCATCTTGAAATGCCTAAAACTCTCGTATGCCGATGACCTGAAGCTTTACTACACGATTAAGCAACCACAAGACGCGTTTTTTCTGCAACAACAACTGGAAGCCTTCGCTGAATGCCCAACAAACAATTTTACATGCAGTCTAGCTTATACAGGCAAAAATTAGCTGTATAAGCCAATTTTTGGCTGTATAAGCTAATCTGCAGTTAAAATTGTTAGTTGGGTGGTGTCATATTAATCGAATGTCGCTGAACGTGTCCAAATGTTCGGTTATTTCATTTGGTCGCAAGCAATCACTCTTCCACTTTAGCTATGCTTTGGGAGGCGTGAATCTACAACGTGATTCGACAGTCAAGGACCTGGGGATTCTGGTTGATACAAAATTAACCTTCAAGGATCACGTCGCGTACGTTGTGTCTAAAGCCTCATCGCAACTAGGATTTTTATTTCGCTTTGCAAAAAAGTTCAAGGACGTTTACTGCCTAAAAGCTTTATATTGCTCAATTGTGCGCCCTATCTTGGAGTATTCGTCTATCGTCTGGTCTCCTTATTACCAGAATGAAACTCAACGCATCGAAGCTGTTCAGCGAAAATTCGTCCGGTTCGCTCTACGTCATCTTAGGTGGAGAGATCCATTCAACCTGCCCAGTTATGAAAACCGTTGTCTACTTATAAATCTGGAATTACTAGAAGCAAGACGCAACGTGGCAAAAGCGTGCTTTGTTGGGGATCTTCTGCAAGGCAACATTGACAGTCCTACGCTTCTTAGTTTCTTGGACATCAACACACGTCGTCGCAATCTTCGGTCGCACTCGTTTATCACCATCCCTCCGGCAAAAACTAATTATGGCTTTCACGAACCTTTGCGAAGCATGTCCCGTGTATTCAACCGGTGTTATTATGTGTACGATTTCAACGTGTCACGAGAAACAAACAAGCGTAGTTTTAAACAAGTTTTATGTTAATTTATGTTATTCGTTAGTTTTGTATTTAGTTGTAGAACAGGTGTCATTGGGGTAAACATTTTACCTGTTGACTGATAAACAATAAACAATAAACAATTACTCAAAAGATGAGTAAATTTTAATCATCATCGCTTTTCTGACTCACTAAACGAACCGAAATGATAGAACACAAAGTTGGGATTTTTTTAAATTAATTTTGAGTATTTTTTTTTTTCTTACCGTGTAGCGAACGTAAAAGAATCATTGAACAATCGTTGCCAGATGTATTGCCTCTGGCCATGAATATAAGTTTATTAAAACAAGATTATATGAAGTTTAAACAAATAACTTAGATGATGAATGTTTTTAATGGTGAATGAATATTAAAAACTGAATAAACAAATCTAACAGGACCTTTTTTTGGAACTTAAACGTTCCAATTACAAAGTTTAAAAAATAACTAAACACAAACTGAGAGATAGCAGTAGTGTGCGTAGCCTGTCATTCGTTTTCCCATACATAACGATCTGGCAATGTATTTTTTTTTTTTGTCTGCAACATTCATATGTATGTGTATATGTGACGTCACATTTGCAGTTGTATTTTTTTCCATTGACTTGTTGTCCGTCGATCTTGTTTTCCGTGCTGAGCACCAATGCTACCGACGCCAGGGAGGCAACTCCCACACCTGGACCCTACCTATCGACCCATCAACTCGTGAACCGGGGACCAACGATTTTACTTCCCTTGATCAGAGATGTTATGCCTCAGAACATCCCGGTGGTGCCGACTGGGATTGAACCCAGGCCTGCTGGGGTGAGAGTTAATCACGCTTACCACTACACCACCAGGGGCGCTATTTGCAGTTGTATTGAAAAGTGAAGAAATAAAAGAGATGGTAAGATTTTACGCACCACACCAGTTGATATGTCGACGGTTTTGGGCACGGTGACCGTCGGTGACTCACGCTATCAATTAATTGAGTAATGGTTAGCTGTCTCTTAATTATTACGTGTTCTTTTCGTGTTATACGTGCTATTTTGAACAGGGTTAGCGTTGATAATCGTTTTTTAAAAGTGTCCGGATTTATTGACTAAGTCGGGGTTTCAATGCTTTACGGTAGTACCGTGACGTCGAAACTGGTGAAAACCCACTTTCATGGGAAGCCAGACAGACTTCTGAGAGAAGTTGGAAGGTTGTTGCAGGAGAGTTAAAAAAAAACATTGGATGAAATTTCCTGCAGAAGTAGGGAAAAAAAACTTGCCAGGGTAGTCGAGAATCTTCCAGAGAAAGTTGAAAAGAACATCTTGGCGAGCTCGAAAGAAAACTTCGTGAATAGAAGTTTATTAATTTCCAATTAATTCCGCTTAGTGCTTTGCATCCATGCCAGACTTCGACACCAATGTGAAGTCTTCATCAGTGTCATTCCCACTAAAGATCTATTGAAATCTGATACCAACCAAATCACTGTTATTTCACACTAACCCACTTGTTTCCTACAAACTCACTTCAATGAAATTTCATCTCCCCATACCTTTTACCAGGAAAAGTTCAAACGTGAATTCCACAAGCGATATCCCTTCCGTGGCCGGGGTCAAAGCTACCAGCAGGAGCAGCTGACCGATAAGACCCTCTCGATGTTCACCCGCGTTAGTTCGATACGGTCCAATTACGCGACATCGTCCATACGGAACAAGCTCTACACGAGGACGGGTGGCACCGCCGGTGGAGGATACACTAGTAGCACTTCTTACCATAATCATAATCCCGTACAGCAGCAACAGCAGCTGCCGCCATCGCAGCAGTACAAATCCCCTAATCCGAACATTCAGCGTATCAACGACAACAACTGTCAAACGATGACCGATAGCATTCAAACGGAGTCAAAATGCTGTCCCTGTCGGCAGCATGCGAGTAAGGTTCCGTTCCGAGATTCCCAGCAACATTCGGCAGCGCATGAAAGTCAGTTTCTCGGTCCCACCGATGGCATTTGTGATAGCATGAAACTGGATAAAATTGCCCTCGATCACCCCCATCCGGACAGTGCAGATGATGAGGAGCAACAAACTTGCTCCAGGCATGTCGTCGAACAGGATGAACAGCAGCAACTAACTTCCGGTGGAGGTGAAGGCCAGCGGAGTCAACGGTTTCACCTTTACTGCAACAATCTGAAGAATTTCAACGAACTATACGACTAAAGAAGAATTTCGATGGATGTGTTTAACTTTCTGCTGAAATCGTGATACAACCGTTGATGATGGTGTAAATGTTGAAAATCTTTCTGTACGTACTGTTTGAAAAAAATTAACGGAGAGAAGAGAAGCAAAACAGTCTCGAAACACATATTTATTGAAGTTTTATTCAATTTCCTTCTGAACGAAGCCAAAGATCGCATTATGGCGGAAGATAAATATATTTGTACCTTATGGCAAATAAGGGATATGGATTGATTTTCGTTGATGGTTTCTTTTGTTTGCAAACATGATGACCGCCCAATTTTTTTTCTCGTAGGCATTGACGCTAATACTCGAGCATTTGCCGGCTCTCAACTCAGTGTTCTTTTAATTAGTTCGGTTATAAATTGAGTGCTTAATGTGTCAATCAGAGCATGAAGCACAAAGATACTGCAATGCCCAGAGAACCAATCGAACCAATTGACTCAGGCTTGGGAATACCGAGCCTTGACTGACTAGGCCATTTAATGACAGCACAATCCGGGGATGAAGCAGATGTTTCGATTAAATAGGTAAGTAAAATAAGTTATAAGTACAAAGTTACTGATTTTAAAATATTCCGTGCTACAAGCGACTGTAAACTATTATTTTTTTTCTCAATCTTATATCTCTAGACTGTATTGAGAATCGAGCTCAGCGCCTCCAGATTATTTTTTTACTCTTTATTTTTTCTTAAATGAAATTGAAATAAATTAAATTTTAATCTAGGTGCTCCATCTAATGCAGTAGCATACCAGCCTTAATTGTTATCATATACAGTATGTATCAAAATTTATCATACAGCTGTACTCAAAAAACTTCTTGGAGTTTTGCTCATTTTAAGTCGTAATAAAGATCATTCATATGCCACTAATTTAACTTAAATTTGCCAACAAGGTAAAAAGGTGTAAATCGAGCGTTTTACTAAAATAAATCTAACGTCATACAGACTCTCCCAATAAAGACCAAAACTATAGCAATAAATCAATAAACATTTGTTAAACCACCTGCCATGATTAAAAAAAAGTAGAAGGGTCTGTGTCTAGGGGCACGAACGGAAGCTTGACGTAGGACCGCTAGTGGACGGAACAAATGTGAGCATTTAGTTCTTTTAATTGATCAATCATCAATTATCTTAACTCTTTCCGTTTTTTTATTTGTAAGCGTATCAAATTTGTAGTATTTATTTCAAAGAGAAAGTTGATGAAGAGAATCCAAGGTGTATTTTGGATTTTTTGTTATTTATGAATTTTTAAGTTTTGTGCATTTTGGTATTAAAGTGTATTCAATTCACCCCTCACAGGATTTCCTTCCGAATTATGTGAATGGGGCAGGGCGGAAAGTATCGTTTATGCAGAATATGTAAAAAAGGAGGGACTTCGAGAGATTGAACTCGTGAGAGCTAATTTTCTCACAAATTTGATTTTATTGGCTTTCTGGGGGACTGAATATACACCCAAAGCGAATAATTCCCACTTCTCTTAAATTGTATATGGATTTTTAACGCTTGCTACCAGCGTGTTCCGGAAAATGGTCGGACGAAGATTAATCTTACCTATACATTCGGCCCTACAATTCCACACCTTCTATAGAGACCAGGTTGAGCCTTGATAGCTAGCTGCTTGCTGGAACTGATGACCTTGACCAATGTCCAAATAATACTCTTAAAAAATTTATGGTGGTCCTGAAAAGGACCGTTTTGTAGTGATGGTTGAGTAATGCTGAGCTGAGCACGACGAGCTACTGATTCCGATCTTAGCCTAGCGGTGGGACTTCTTCCTCCTTCTCTATGGTTGCTCATATGAGCTCTGCAGCTCGCTGCTTGCAGGCAGCCATCCGTTGTTGTTGTTGTTGTTGTTGTTGTTGTTGTTGTTGTTGTTGTTGTTGTTGTTGTTGTTGTTGTTGTTGTTGTTGTTGTTGTTGTTGTTGTTGTTGTTGTTGTTGTTGTTGTTGTTGTTGTTGTTGTTGTTGTTGTTGTTGTTGTTGTTGTTGTTGTTGTTGTTGTTGTTGTTGTTGTTGTTGTTGTTGTTGTTGTTGTTGTTGTTGTTGTTGTTGTTGTTGTTGTTGTTGTTGTTGTTGTTGTTGTTGTTGTTGTTGTTGTTGTTGTTGTTGTTGTTGTTGTTGTTGTTGTTGTTGTTGTTGTTGTTGTTGTTGTTGTTGTTGTTGTTGTTGTTGTTGTTGTTGTTGTTGTTGTTGTTGTTGTTGTTGTTGTTGTTGTTGTTGTTGTTGTTGTTGTTGTTGTTGTTGTTGTTGTTGTTGTTGTTGTTGTTGTTGTTGTTGTTGTTGTTGTTGTTGTTGTTGTTGTTGTTGTTGTTGTTGTTGTTGTTGTTGTTGTTGTTGTTGTTGTTGTTGTTGTTGTTGTTGTTGTTGTTGTTGTTGTTGTTGTTGTTGTTGTTGTTGTTGTTGTTGTTGTTGTTGTTGTTGTTGTTGTTGTTGTTGTTGTTGTTGTTGTTGTTGTTGTTGTTGTTGTTGTTGTTGTTGTTGTTGTTGTTGTTGTTGTTGTTGTTGTTGTTGTTGTTGTTGTTGTTGTTGTTGTTGTTGTTGTTGTTGTTGTTGTTGTTGTTGTTGTTGTTGTTGTTGTTGTTGTTGTTGTTGTTGTTGTTGTTGTTGTTGTTGTTGTTGTTGTTGTTGTTGTTGTTGTTGTTGTTGTTGTTGTTGTTGTTGTTGTTGTTGTTGTTGTTGTTGTTGTTGTTGTTGTTGTTGTTGTTGTTGTTGTTGTTGTTGTTGTTGTTGTTGTTGTTGTTGTTGTTGTTGTTGTTGTTGTTGTTGTTGTTGTTGTTGTTGTTGTTGTTGTTGTTGTTGTTGTTGTTGTTGTTGTTGTTGTTGTTGTTGTTGTTGTTGTTGTTGTTGTTGTTGTTGTTGTTGTTGTTGTTGTTGTTGTTGTTGTTGTTGTTGTTGTTGTTGTTGTTGTTGTTGTTGTTGTTGTTGTTGTTGTTGTTGTTGTTGTTGTTGTTGTTGTTGTTGTTGTTGTTGTTGTTGTTGTTGTTGTTGTTGTTGTTGTTGTTGTTGTTGTTGTTGTTGTTGTTGTTGTTGTTGTTGTTGTTGTTGTTGTTGTTGTTGTTGTTGTTGTTGTTGTTGTTGTTGTTGTTGTTGTTGTTGTTGTTGTTGTTGTTGTTGTTGTTGTTGTTGTTGTTGTTGTTGTTGTTGTTGTTGTTGTTGTTGTTGTTGTTGTTGTTGTTGTTGTTGTTGTTGTTGTTGTTGTTGTTGTTGTTGTTGTTGTTGTTGTTGTTGTTGTTGTTGTTGTTGTTGTTGTTGTTGTTGTTGTTGTTGTTGTTGTTGTTGTTGTTGTTGTTGTTGTTGTTGTTGTTGTTGTTGTTGTTGTTGTTGTTGTTGTTGTTGTTGTTGTTGTTGTTGTTGTTGTTGTTGTTGTTGTTGTTGTTGTTGTTGTTGTTGTTGTTGTTGTTGTTGTTGTTGTTGTTGTTGTTGTTGTTGTTGTTGTTGTTGTTGCTGTTGTTGTTGTTGTTGTTGTTGTTGTTGTTGTTGTTGTTGTTGTTGTTGTTGTTGTTGTTGTTGTTGTTGTTGTTGTTGTTGTTGTTGTTGTTGTTGTTGTTGTTGTTGTTGTTGTTGTTGTTGAAAGCACTCCTGCTACTGCTGCTGCTGGACTGGACACCACCACTTACGGTGATTTTTAAGTCTGTGTTAGTGAATGCGCTGTTTTCAGACATTCGGTGATAATTTTGATCACCATTGCAACAGTTGGACAGTTGGTATTTTTCAATAGTGACCTATCGAAAATTAACTTCATTTTAGCAGATTGGTAGATAAATTTCCAATCGTTTGGCTTGTTTAGAATTAAAATCTATCTGCTATTGGTCGAAACCTGACCTCTTTTCGTAATGCTGTGCATTTTGGTTTTTTGAAATTGCGTGGATTCTATAGATCCTGTGGAGATCTATCTAGCCCTGATGTATGTGTTGGTAGAGAGAAAAATTTAAACTTTGCGCGAGATGATGTCTTAACACTCGAAAGCAATTTTGTGAAATATGAAGTAAAACAAATCCTAGCTAGTTCTGCATGATGATTTTGTTTGATTTTATTTATTTGTAAAGTCACCAGGAAATACCAGCTGGCGATTTATTTTTTATGATAACTCCTTACTTGAAAACAGACACAAACTCACAAACAGGCTGCTTTTTCGTGGTATACAGTGTGATAATTCAATAATCAATAAATTATCTCAACATTTTCTATAATCCACATTAAATTTCATTTGTAAGCGCCGATTGAAACAATCTTTTCGACGTCACTGAATGAAAGCCGAGGAAAAACTAATTGCACCAATATATTCAGGCCTACAATTCCACACCTTCTATGGACAGGTTGAGCCTTGATAGCTAGCTGCTTGCCGGAACTGATGACCTTGACCAATGTCCAAATAATACTCTTTAACAAATTTTTGGTGGCCCTGAAAAGAACCGTTTTGTAGTGATGGTTGAGTAATTTTGAACTGGGTGTTCAACACGGATGAGGCTGTCGAGCTGTATGTCATTTGGAGTGAGGGTGACACGCTTGGCATAGACGACCGACCCGCAGCGACTCACGAAGAGCTACTGATTCCGATCCATAGCATAGCGGTGCAGCTTCTTCCTCCTTTGATGGTTGCTTAAGTGAGCTCTACAGTTCGCTGCTTGCAGGCAGCCTTTCGTTGTTACTAGAGAACAATTTTCAACACCACACGCCGAAAGCACTGCTACTGCTGCTACTAATTTCAACGACTGAACACCACCACACGCTATGTCTGAAGGCACTTTTTTTGCAACATTCATGTCCCTCAGTTTTTTCATCACAGGAAGTTAGAATGGATCTTAACAATCAAATCAGTGATGGTTTGAAAATATTTCATCTTGGGTTTTTTGAGAAAAAGTATTTTGAAATATACTTAGTCGTTTATGAAGGTGTATATGGACTATTGACGATACAAGACTGTTACGGATCGAAACAAATACAGCTGAATATGATTGTTGGAGATTAGGGTAGTCAAAATACTTCGTTTTAATGGTACAGTAAGATTTTCTCTTCGATACCGTAAGATGTCGTAACTTTGTCGTGAACTCATAATGTTTACAATGATAAAATAATTTACAATAGTTTATTCTCTAAATTTACTTTAATTATCAGTTCCATATGTTTCATCCATTCTTATCAATGCTTACATAAATATCTAAAGAGAATGATAAAAAAAAACTTGGAGCTGCCAAGATAAGGAGATTA